TCCCTGGACATCTGGGGCAAGATTTTCCCATGAATAAAAGCTCTGCTTTCACACTAGCATGAACCCTCATCAAAGCCAGCAGAGGTAATTATCAGAACAAAATCAAGTTAGGTGTAAGGTGGATTTTTCCTTCGAAGCAGTCTGTGCCCTAATGGCTCTTCAGAGCTCCTAGATAGTGAGGAGCTCTGTTATTGCTGGGTTACTGTCGGACTGAACCCTAGACTGCCTTCTTCATCAGTGGGCAGAGGAGCACCTCTGCTTCAGCTCTGTAGACGTGTTGGAGGAGCCTCCGGCCCCCTGAGCCCCGTTCCTTCAGCAGCAGTCAGGTTTCCTCTGCAGGAGCCTGTTTACATTTGAAAATACCATGACAGAGCCCAGCCAGCCGGTTCCCGGCCCTCGCTGCTCCAGCCAGCGGGTCCATCTCCCAGCTGGACCACCCCAGGGTGTCGGAGCAGATAAACAGCACCCACGCAGCCTCCAGCACGGCCGCGAGCGCGGGGGCTGGCGAAGATGAGTCGCCCACAGGATATCTGAGCATCCTGTGTGGAGCAGCTCCATCTGGGCTCCCGCGGATATCCTATGTGTCTGGCAGAGACGAGAGATAGCGGCTGTCTGAGGTTGCTGGCTGTTGTGCGCTGACATCCTGGCGCGGTGAGTCAGCCTGGGCTCTGGCAAGGAGCAAGCGTGGGGAGACATCCCCTCCCTGCTCAGGGGACAGCCTTCCACGAGGACCTCAACCAAATGCCAGTGAGCTGGAGCCAGCAGCTGGATGTAGCGTGAAGAATTTGCTGTATTTAGATGTGTTTTTCCTGGAGCAGGCAACTAACAAAATGAGAAAGAGAAGAGATGCCTGGATGCTTTTGCCTCACCGCTGCTCACCACCCTGTTGCATCTCCTTTCCCCTCGCAGATGCTAGCACCAAGCCTTGGCTCTGTCCACTCTTCAGCATCCCATCTGTCCTCCCTGCGTATTTTCATCCTTCTCGTTTATCCCTTTTCCAAGCTGACTTCACTCTGCTAAAAGAGGTGGAGGAAATGGGGACAAACAGTGAGTCACTGGTAGGGCTTTCCTCTTCAGAATGGTCGTTCACGTTGCTGGTCTTACTCACTGACAGGCTTTAAAACAAAGCTTGTCTTGGAGCTGACACCTGGTTGCCAGAAGCCCCTGCAGACCTGCTCAGGCTCAGCACAATGCCTTGGTCAGATCCTTTGGGGGTGGAACTCACTTGCTTCATGTTCCCGTCAGCATCCCCAAGACTGTCCTGACATCACCAGTATTGGAGCACTCAGAAACCAGCCCATTAGCACTGGTGAAGGAGCTCAGCCATGAATTCTGCTGGAGGAGTGAGTTGGGCAGGGAGGACCATGTTCTCCCCCTGTTTCACAGCTCATGTTCTCTTCAATGTCCATGGATGGAGAAATTGCCCAGAGAGGCCAGGAAGATGAGCAGTGTAACCACAAACTAACAGGGTATGAAGTGGATGGTCAGGTCACTGACCCGTGTCCCATCCTGTGTGTGAAGGAGGAAAGGGCATGTACGATTTCCTTGGCTTTGAAATTAAACCAGCAACATCAGCTATAAAAACGGGACCTAATTCAGCATGTTCCTGGTGCCCACCAGAGGGGTGGCCCTGTGCTTGCTACCTGGTGTGTTTTAACAACCCTTTTAGGGACATCAAATGGTTCTGCAGAAGTGTGTGTCAAAATGCAGTTTGGTAAATCTTTGCACAGCAAATGGGAAGGAGGCTGAGTAATAACTTTCACCGAAAGGTTCAAAAGCTATGCAGGGAAATTACATATTTCAGCAACATTTCTCTAGTTTACTGCATTAGGAATTAGCCGTAATTGTGGGAGATAAAATGCCTGAGAAAGCCTCCCAGTCAACTGTTCCTGTCGCAGTACGAATCTCCCATGTTAGGACTGATCTTTCAGAACTGCTTTTCTCTGTTGACGAGACCCTTTGGAAGGCACTGGGCAGCTGTGACTCAGTGAGCATCACATTTCGTAAGGCTGATTTAAGGTAGTATCTGCTTGGTTGGTTTGGTTTAAGCTGGTCTTTGATTATTTCTTTGGTTGTTTTTATGGTCTTTTGATCTGTTCTGACATTTTGGGGTCAGTTGCCAGTGGGTTTAGAGGTGGGTCTGTGGTCATAGCCTTGCTCGAGGCTGGATTAATACATATTTATAAATAAAAAGCCTTTAATGGAAGTGGTAGGCACCCCAGCAATACAAAGCACTGTTCTCTGCTCCTTTCCAAGCATCTCACACTGGTGTGATCCTCTTGACTGATGAAGTGTCCATTTGCTTTTCACCTGTGAGAACAAGCAGACTCCAACCCATAAAAATCTAATAATACACCCCAAAATAGTTTAACTTTAAAAAAAAAAGAAAAACCAGTTATAGAAACAGAACAGTTTCTGAAGAAGAAATGTCAGGAAGGTCTGAAGAAAGAAGTCCTGCAGTATGCCCAAGATCATCCAAGTCAGGTATGGTCAGGCTGAGCATCACAAGCCATGACCTGAGTGCCCTGTCCTGTAGCCTTTGAACCCTCGCTGCGGTGGAAGAGTTTGTGATACAAAGACACTTGGAAAAGGTTTGTTTGATGGTGCGTTAGGGCCAGGAGTGGTTGATTTTGGTTTCAGCAGTAATCCCGTTGCTTGACTCAGAATGTGACAGCCTGCTTCCAGATCTCCCCCAGTTTCTTTGCTTTCTGGGAGGGGTGAAAAAGGTGGCAAAACATGCACCCAGTGGACGCTGCCACCAGCCACATCAGTGTGGAGGCTGCGTGGCTCTCACGCGGGGTGAGCGCAGCCGGGGCAAACGCCGTGAGCTGTCTGTGCTTGATTTGGGTCCGTACCAGCTCAGCCAGAAGCTGTTTGTTTCCTTCTTGTCGGCACACCCCAGATGAGCGCGGGCATCTGGCCAGGGTGTAGGCTATTCATATGGTCTTAAATGTTCCAGCATCTCTGTAGCTGCTGTGGTGACCCGCGGTGCAAAAACAAAGAGCTTTTAAAAATAAATCTGAGGCTGGTGTTGGAGGTAGGGAGCAGAGAGGGGAAGAGCAGTTGAAAGGAAAACGTAGGTCGTTCATGTTGACCTAAAAGAAAAAGGTAGAAACATCTGCTGGAATCATGAGCAGTTTTTTACCAGGACTCGGCAGTTTGTTGGCAATTCGGGGAAGAAATTCAGCAGTTCAGCTTTTGTTGGTAACTGCTCACCCTGGTTACTACGAAGAATTACAAAATGCTAGAGAGGGCTTTCCCTGCCAGTGCCGATACACGGCTCCTCTAGAAGATCTCGTCAGGTTCTTGCAGCACAGATGTGTTTGCAGAATTGAGTTTTGTCGCTCTGTGAGGGCAAACCCAAATGAAATGAGGATGACGACAGCAACAAAACAATCATCTCACCATGAGATTGTCCTCCTTCGTCTGATGATGCTCAACCTGGCTGACCTTTAGAGTGCCATTTCCCACCTCCCCCACTCCAGAACAGCCCAATAAAAGGGGTAACAAAGGGGGGTGGTGCTTCACAGAATAAGTGCCAGCTGTCTTCTTGTATGAAAACTGCAGAAAATAGTGGTGGAAAAGATCTGTGAGATTCTTTGCTCCCCCCTGGGCCAAGGAAGAACTCTTTCATGGCATGGGTTGCCTCAGTGCTCTTTCAGTTCAGCTTTAACGGTATGCTAGAATAGTAGCAATGAAAGATGAAGCTGAAAGCGCGGAATTCGCTCTGTTTTGCTGCCAAAACCAAGAGTTGTTGCCAGGTTCCTTCCAGAGCTCTGTGAAATGGCAGCGCTGTTTTCAGCCTTCTTGGGCTGAGTGTCTTCACTGTACTCCTGGAGTCCAAACTCCAAATGTATCAATAAGCCCCCCCCTCACTCCCATCCTACAAGTGCACAGAAAACCCCATTTACCTTCCAAGTCACAGCTGTAGCTGCTCAACAGCCAGTGATATGATTGAAAAACGTGTAGAGATGGTGCTTACCCCTTCTTGTGCTTGGTTTTCATCTCACCGTGTGGCCGTGACCTTCATATCCAAACTCTGTGATGAAAGGATCATTGGCTTACGCAGGCAAGGGGGTCAGAGAGAAGCAGTGACTTCACTATAAACTCATCCCTCAGCTCAGAGGTGGAGTAGAGAGGGCAGATGCTAGGCACACCCTGAAAAATCAGCTGCTCAAGTTGAGGACCCAAAACCGGATGCAACCAATGTTGCCCCTTTTTTGAGATGCTAGACCTTGGATAGCCATGGAGTCACTACCCCAAACCCAGTTAAAATCAGGAACCCTGTCAATACGTTCCCCTAAAGAGCCGAAGTTACAAATGCTGCCATGACATCTGAGCAACAGTGTCTGACTTAATACGTGGACTTGCTTCAGTGGAAGTTGCTGTGTAATTGCCACTTGAAAGGTCAAGCCATTTGGACGTCCAGTTTAAATATCTTGACCTACATCTTCACAAGAAACAGCTACTGTCCCAGAAGGACCTATGGGTTACTGTCGTTTTGCTGTGTTTTACAGGAATCGTGCTAGGTAATTTTGTTCCATTACATTTCTTCATAAAACAGGCACTGTAAGTGGATTGAATTAGATGTTTGCTACTAGGATAATTGCAGTTCTTAAGAAGTAAGCTGTATTGTCAAATGGTTTCTCCTAGGCTTAATTTCCAAAAAAAATGCATCTCCAGGGCTTCATAAACTGTACTGTTGTTTGCCATTTGGAACTTTCATGGGAATGGAATGTCTTCTTTTCTCTAGGATTTTTACATTAATAATTTTGTTGCTTTTATTCTTCTGGATAATTATTACAGATGTCTTTGTGTGCCCCACTGTCCAATCTCTGTTAGCTTAAACATTAAGAATCTGCCGTAAACAAACATGACTGGGTAACACCTGCTTCATGTCGTTTTTGGAAGGGCTGCGTCCAGGCTTTGGTAAAATTACAAGTACTCCAGATGTGTATTCTGCTGTCAGCTGGCCTAGTGAAATCATTGTTTATTGATAGGTTCCCAAGAGTCAGACAGTTCTCAGTCTGCCAAGAAAGACATGCTGGCTGCACTGAAATCCAGGCAAGAAGCTTTGGAAGAGACACTGCGCCAACGCTTGGAAGAGCTGAAGAAGCTGTGTCTCCGAGAAGCGGTAGGCAATGGACACTTTATAGCCTCTAACACTTGGTTGCTTGCACTGTTATAACATGCTTGTTGTTTGGAGGTGGCGTGGAGTCAGGAGAAGCGATTCCTTCCACTGTCACTTCTCGCAAAGCCCGTTGTACAAAGGCCTCAGGAAGGTCCTACCGTTTCAGCTCCAGATTGCAATGTCACAGGACATTTTCCGCCCAACCCCATGCCATTTGGGCACCCAGTTGGCTTGGGGCTAGGACGGTGCTCAGCATCTACGTCTGCTGTTTGAAACTGTGGTTTAGATGTGTTCAGCCAGGCTTTTTCGTGACTTTGGTGGGAATATGCAGCTACCTAATGGTGTAGGAAGGCTGTCCTGTGTACTGGTAATCACTTCTCAAATGCTTTTGACTTCATTAGCGAAAAAAACCCCACCCAGATACAATTTCTTCTTGGAGCAGGCCTGACCTTATGTGCTTTTCTTCTCCCAGCACATTCTTACATGCAGCACACAAGGTCTCATCTGTTCCGTGTAGACTCCCTTCATCCAATAAGCTCTGGTGCTGCTGGAGAGGAGTGGCAGTGTGGTGGCAGACCTTGCGAAGAGGAACCACTGTGGTCACATCCCAGGACATGCAGGGAATGCATGTCAGGAACTCATCTCATAACCTTCCCACCTGCTTCCCAGTTCATTCTTGGACTACACGGTGGCCAGTTTAGAGATCAGTGTGATGTTGGGGAAATCACAACCCTGTGGAAATCAGCAGTAGCATAGACTTGGGTCGTTCAGCGATTCTCCTTTGTTTACCAGGTCTGAAAATCAGAATTTAACAACAAATCGCTATGTGTAACACAACAGGAAGCTGGCTGCAGACAGTGTGTATCTCACCTTTGACAAAAATGGGAGAAATAAGGCACTGACTCAGCTCTCGTTGCACTTTCAGTTAGTCTATAGTTTTATCGCCAACAAGAATAAATTGTGGAATCATAGAATCATAGAATAGTTTGGGTTGGAAGGGACCTTAAAGATCATCTAGTTCCAACCCCCCTGCCATGGGCAGGGACACCTTCCACTAGACCAGGTTGCTCAAAGCCTCATCCAGCCTGGCCTTGAACACTTCCAGGGATGGGGCATCCACAGCTTCTCTGGGCAACCTGTCCCAGTGCCTCACCACCCTCTCCATGAAGAATGGAGAAGAATGGAAAATAAATACTTCGGAATCTCTGCTGCCCCAGTTCCCATCTTTTACTCCACACAAGCAATCCTTTCCCACCTGGCAAGTCCTGGTTGACTTCAGCAAACAACGTGTGCTGATAAAGGTCACAGGACCAGATCCAGTCCCGTAAGTCTGTCGTGTACAAAGCCAAGATCATCTACAAGAAGCAGTCACACACTCTTCGGGGGCTGGTGGACAAGGTCTGGAGGGCTCTACGTGCCCTGGAGACCCTCAGCTAACACCGCCTGACTGCGGCAGCGCAGGGGAAGATGTGCCTGTACCATAGCTGCTGGCCCTCAGAGCCCAGTGCCTTGGCTTTAACCTCAGCCCTGTCTGCGGTGCAGCCTCAAGCGCTCTGAGCAACCGGGATGCCTGCAAAAGCTCCTGCTGGGGCATGAAGCCAGCGGTAAGGAGCAATATTTCCTTAACGTGCTGCAGCAAGGCTGGCCAGAGCCCATCTGTCAGCACCTCAAGAGCTGGTAGAAAGTGTTCCTGCTTTCTGTAGATGAGCCAAGAGAGGCAGTTGGTGGACACTTGGAATCTGACCTCGTCTTGCAACCCTACAGCTCATCCATCAGCAGCCTGCAGCTGGAAGTATTTCCTCTCAGGCTGCCCTTCGTCCTTTCTGCTTTGGCATGGGAATGGCCAAAACAGAGGGAAAAGGCAGCAAACCAGGAGATAAAAAAGGGTTAACAGTGGGGGCATAATCAAATAAGCACGGCCAGAGCCATTCATAACACTGGCATCAGGTTACTTCGGGCCATCACTACTCCAGTTACTTAATAATTTAGATTATGTTTCGGACCGTGCCTGTGAATGCTTTTCAGCTTATGGAGGCAGCATGGTAGCTCACATTAATTTTGTTCTGCTCCAATCTTGGGCATTTTACAGAACATATTATCTCTTTCCCCGCTGCCCTGCTTCATATTAAGTTAGGGGTTATAAAGAAAATACCCTTGTTTCCCTCGGGAACGAGAACAGGAATCTGTGGCTTGATGCAGTGCTTGGAGCCACATCACCCTAGAAGGAGCGCGTCACGGAAGAAAAGCTGAAATAACCCCACGGGGCTGGAGAGGCAACGGGGAATGGGACTCATGAGACATTGCAAAAGTGCCCCTCGCAAAAGGGGATTGTGCACATCGGCACAGAACTGTGCTGCAAACCCGCTTTGCTGGGAATTGCTCAAAGGAATGATTTGAAAAGGCCAGGTCCTTGTTTCCTAGTGACCTGAAAAGAGTAGAAAGAAAAACCCCGTTAGGGAGGGGGAGAGAGGCCGGGGCAGGCAGGGCCGGAGCTGCGCACTTGCTTTATGGTCAGCTGCTGTTCTGTGGGATTCAGATGATTTAGGTTACTCTGCCAGCTGGATCCTCTCAAGGCTGATGCTGAAGAACACAAAAGCCTTTTGTCCTTCACGGGAGACTTTTGAGTACAAGGAGTCGGGCTGTGCTCCTAGTGAGGCTCCTGCCTTTTTCTGTAGGCATTTGAATGCCTTCAATTCAGATGTGTGTGGCTGTATTATGTAGGCCGGGAAAAAAAACCCACAGCATTAGCACCAATATTGGTGCTTGCTGCTTCCTGTGTTCCAGATATTCTTCAGTTCTATGGGGTTTGGTTCAGATTTTGAGCAAATCTTTGCAAATGACCCCATCGCTCTGACAGAGCGTCATCTGATATTGCTTCAAAGCTGCTCGTGACATCACCAGGGTTTGGAAGGGGCTCTGATACATGAAGTGTTATCAGGCAGGTGATGAGGTACCAGGCACCGTCTTTAGTGAGCATTTTCCCTGCATTCCTCTCAGACACATCATGAATCAGGTGGGAATGTTTTTCTGTGCGGGTCATAACCTGCATGGCTGTGGCTAGTGGGGCTTTCTGACTCAACAGACCTGCATCCTTTGTGAAGGCTCTGGGTCCACTCACCCCCCTCTCAGAAGTAGCTGAGCAGACAGCAGCTCTTCTCCCCTGCTCACCCTATACCAGAGATGAAAGCCCGTGTGCTGCAGGCTGTTCAGGCCCCGACGCCCTAGGGATGGGCACCAGCTACAGACCTATGCTGGGCAGGCCACAAGATCTGTATTCATGCACATGTTAAGGAAAGTTTTCTGCCCTCCGCGTCAGGTCCTGGGACGAGTTCGCAGGGCTGGGTGCTTTCCTGTGTGTTTATCAGCTGGCTGAACTACATGTGTTGTTAACGAATGCCTGCTGTTTTACAGGCACAGTTCAGAGCGGTGTTGTGCTTTGCTGTGCTGCAGGATCTCCCAGATCACTAACAGCATTTTCTGCTTACAGGAGCTCACAGGAAAGCTGCCACGAGAATACCCCCTAGATCCTGGGGAGGAGCCGCCGATTGTAAGGAGAAGAATAGGAACCGCCTTTAAATTGGATGAGCAGAAAATCCTGCCTAAGGGAGAGGTGAGGCTGTGCCCTTCCCTTCCAGCCCTGTCTCCGCACCTCGAGTCTCTGAGATGTCCAGCTACATCACATAGCAACCACCAGTCCTACAGCCATTTTTGCTTTACATGACTGTAGCTGGTCACCATACCTTTTGGTTTATATCTGTCAGGACGGGGAAGCAGCGAGAGAGTTGGTGGCCTTAGTTCAGACTCAGAGTAAAGGTGAAACCCTCAAGCTTCAGCCCCGGCTTTGCTAGAAGTCACAGAAATAGCCTGGGTGGCCAACCAGACCGTGACAGTCCAAGCGCTGCAGTGACCAAGTGTGTGAGTAGGGAGCGGGAGCACATCAGGGCCCCTTGAGCCATCTGAGCCCTGCTCCTGCCCCGTGTCGTTACTGCTTTCTGCTTCAGCAGCAATCCGAATTCAGGCCTCCCCTAACAGGGAGAAAAGCATCACAATTATCCATCTATCCCTGCAATAGCAAGATGAAAGAGTTTTGCTCCCCAATCCTTAAACAAAAAAGCCTTCGGCCCTACCTATGGGGAGCTGGAATTATGTTTTTCTAAGTTTGCCAGGGAGTGTTTGTTCTCCCCCCCTGCTCCCACAGTGTGCTGGGTCAGTGCCCTGAACTGTGGCTGTGAAAACAGGCCTGCAGCAGCTGTAAGGCGGGACCGGATTCACAGAAAAGCTATTGTCTGTGGAGAGGCATTTGTCTCAAGACACTTGTGTATATTCCAGGCTTGAGTTTCCTTTTTATTTTTGTAAGAGGAGAGACTGAAGCTGGTGTGACTGTGTGCGGTTTAAGGCTCAGTTCAGCCAGGGAATTAACTGTTTGTCGTTTTGTTGGCATTTTCCTTCTGCTGAAAAAATAAACAGCTGGAGCTCTTTAGTTTTGTTCTCAATGGAGCCTGGGAGAGGAATTCCACTGAAGTCAAATATTCATGAACTAGCACATTTAATTAAGCTTTTCAAAGGGAAGCACGGCTTAGCTGAGTTACTCCTAAAACCCCTGCAGTCCGTTGGCTGCTCATTTATAACCTGATCTCCAGCTTCCCCAGATCTTACTGCTACAAGGCAGGTTTTGGGGCCAGTGGGCGAGGAATCTCCATACTCCAGTGGCAGGGTTAGGTGGAGAGAGCATGAAGGTACAGCTGCTCCTCCCCATTGCAGGCATGCTGCCTTTTGGCATCAGCAATCCAAACACACTGACTCAGCTTTTCTCTACCTCCCTTTTCATCTGTCAAACTTTAAGACTGTGTTGAAAACCATAAATTTCTGTTCTAGAAGAATGATGTTGAGCTGTGTTTATTTGCCTGCCAGTTTGAGGGCATTTAGAGAGGCCGGCGATGATTTTCATGTGTTTCTCAGCAAGTGCAAACACTAGAAACTCAGTTTAAAACAAAAGGTGAAGTTATCCCTCGGTTACGTAAATCCAGGGCTGATGTTACCACTGTGACAAGGACCTGAAGCAAGGCCCTTCCATCTGAAGGCATAGCCCTCATTTTCTGAGGCTTTATTTATAGGGGCCTCAGTGGAAGAAAAGAGACAGTTGTGGCCAGGAGGAAAATTAATGGTTTTTTCCAAGATACACTGAATTATTTAGAACTGAATCTGTGAAGGTCTGAAATGACAGCCCGCACCTTTACTAAGAGCTTTGTCAGAGCAGGACTTGCAGGCAAGGGTCCTATGGTATTTTTTGGTAATTGCCTCTATGGGGTCCGTAATTCCTGACTCTAGGAAGGATTTTGCCAGAAGGCAGTGAACCAGGTTCCAGGCCTTAAAACTCTGTAGTGTAAAATTGACTTTTAATAAGTTGTGGTGCTGATAGAGCTTATAAACTCTTGAAAGCAAAAAGGGATCTGTTAACAAGATGGGGGATGAGTTCAGCCTTTAGTAAAGTGAGAGAAATTGTAATTACAGATTTGAGGCAATGCTGACTCACCACTGACAGCAAAGGGATTTTTTTTTTTTTTAAGTCAGAAGCCCGGAATAAAAATTTCAGAGAATGGCTTTGGTCTGATTAATTCCCACAGCATCAACTCTTGCAGCATACACTGCTGCTAGACAAAGAGCATGAATTTGCGTAATGGGGATCTCCGTGAATATGTGGCTGTCAGTGCTTGCAATCCAAACTCCCACCATTCACTAGAAGTATAAAAAAAAAAAAAAAGCCTGGCATTTTTCTCCCTAATTTGCAATGTACTGCATTCTCTTTTCTAGCAGACTGACACCAAAAACTCCACGGAGCTGGGGGAGGTAGCCAGATCCATTGCAGATTAGCGATGAAGCTCACAGCCGGAGGTCCCAGTGCAGACCAGGAGGCTCTGTATCAGCTTCTGCGTTGGCATAAATTGGCCCTTGTCTTGGGAGCATAACTAAAACCCAGTAGGTAGCTTCCAGGGTACACCTGGTTGCATTTAAAAACTCTGCAGAGGCCCTGCAAAAGCTAATTTGGAGACGCTAGCACTTCTTGGCATACAGAAAGCTTGCTGTTACACACGCTCACTCTGCAATCCCCCTCCTGACTTGTAACTCGAGGAGACAATTTCCTGATGCAATCAGTTGCAGCAGCCCATAATTCCTTCAGCTCATATTCTCCCCTGGATTTTGACGGCCATACACCAGGGAGGAATTAGCCCATCTTTGGCTTTTTTACCCCAAAGAGTTCGGTGGGTGCCAAGCAAACCTGTCACAAAGGTTAAAGCTGTAGCTGTGCATCCATACGTCGCACTGGTATCAAAGGGGGCTCAAATATGGAGGTAGGAGACGGGGAGAAGGAGCGGGTGGGAGGCAGGTGTTGGGTGTAAAAGGCTGGATCTGTCAGCAGTAGAGCACCATACGGAACTGCATGTAAAGCAGAGGAGCACAGCAGGGTTAGGGCTGGAGCACACGCGTCCTCATGTATGGGTCATCCCTTCCACCAGCCGTGCTCCGGGGCACTGGTGGGAGCAGCTGAAGGTGCGATGGGTATCCTCAAGGCACTGCGATGATGCGATGGTGGCTGCTTTGCTGATGGGGAGCCTTGGTTGGAGGCCACTGGCCTGGTTCAGGGGGAGCTTCCCCCTAGCTGTTCCAGGAGAGTTTGGTGGTAGCCAGAATCCGCTTGCCTTTCCCCAGGAGGCAGAGCTGGAGCGCCTGGAGAGGGAGTTTGCCATTCAGTCCCAGATCACGGAAGCTGCCCGGCGCCTGGCGAGCGACCCAAACGTCAGCAAAAAGCTGAAGAAACAGAGGAAGACATCCTACCTGAATGCACTGAAGAAGCTGCAGGAGATCGAAAACGCCATCAATGAGTATCGCATCAAGTCTGGAAAGAAGCCAACCCAGAGAGCCTCCCTGATCATAGATGGTAAGTGGGGCTCAGCACCCACTTCGGCATCGCCAAAGGGTCTGTGGAGGGCAGGGAGCAAAGTCCTTGCCTTGAACTCGTGGCTGGAGGCACCGATTTCCCCTCCCTGCTCTCTCTCCCCGCTCTGACCCTGCGGGTGCTGGCACTTGGGTTGTCCTGTGTCGTAGCAGCGCAGTCAGACGGGTGCCTGGGCTACGTACCGTGCACGAGGGATGTGCTGGTTCACGGCGCGAGAGCCAGCATCGCGCTGTAGGTTGTAAGAGTGTCAGGAAAGCAGACTGTGACTCCTTTGCTCACCTCTGAGATCGCTCTGGTAACGTCTCCTCCGGAGCAGTGCTGTACAAATGTAATTAGTGTTAGCAGATTGGGGTGAGCTCTCTAGCTGAAAGGCATCTGTAAAATCAAAGTGGTAGCAGCGGCGTTGCTGCGTTCACATGCTTTTTTTCTTTTTCTTTTCTTCACAATGTAATTCTCAGGGCGCTTTACGGTTTACTGGGTTGTTGATTGGTTTTTCATGAAATCCATTAACTTTCTGCTGTGGTTCTTTCTCCCTTGCTGATTTTGCCCTTTCCCTTTGACTTGCAGAGCTTTCCCTGTGCCTTTGTAGCAGGAACTGAGATTAGAGCTGCTGTGTTTGTGAGCTGGTTACCAAGTTGCACCGCAGTCAGGGATAACAGACAGCTGTGAGGACTTGGGATGGGGGAGGCAGCTCAGACGTGTGCATGCCAAGGCCGTGGGAGCTTCTGCCGCTACAGAGGATGCTCAGAAAGCGTTTCCCTGAATTACTCAAAACTGGTACCTAGTGTGGGCCTTTAGTTAGCAACAGGATGATTATTTTAAGAAGGCAGGGATCAAACCTAGAGTCCTTGAGGCCCAAGATATAAGTCTTGCTCATGGAACCATGCCATTTTGCATCCTCTGGGGATCTGGGGTCTCCATTCTGACTCACTCTTAATCCCCATTAATTGAAAAGGGTTCGCAGCTCCTTGAAAGGCAGTCTGCTAGTGAGAGACCTGGCCTGCAGCTCTGTCCTCCGAGACTTGAGAGTGGGCTGAGCCCGTTGCTTATAGGATCTTGCCTCTCAGCTGCAAGAGGAGGAAGGTGTGGGTGACTGCTTAAGGCTAAGACTCAGTGGACAAAGATCATGGTGCTGTTCAGCACTCAGTCGCTGCAACTCTTGGCACCCTCTCACCATCTTTATATTTTCTTCCCTTCAGAAGGAAATATTGCCAGTGAAGACAGCTCCCTCTCGGATGCCCTTGTTCTCGAGGATGGTATGTTGGCTGCTATAAATTCTAGAGGGTAGGAAGGAAACAGGGAAGGATGTGTGAATTCCTGACACTCAGAATGGTGTGTCAGGATTATTACACTGCCCTGTGTAATAATTGACCCAAAATGGCCAGTACCAAAACCGCTCGGGACTGAGAGCAGTTTGCTCTGACTTGTAGTCAGACATCAGGCCTGGAGCAATGAGTATGGCTGTGGTCACTGCTCTGAATTCTTTCAGAAGACAGTCCCAGAATGCCCCCTGATTTTCTCTTAGGGTTTCAATTGGTTTAATGCATCACACACTCTTGCTGCCCATTCCTTCCCAAAATGGGAATGTCAGCCAGCACATTTCTGGAAGTTGGGTCTTCAGGTTGCTCCTGAACGCAGCCAGGGTAAGCGGCATAAGGAAGCAGGAGGTGGGATGGTGTCCCCCAGAGTTGTACTGCCATTGGAGGTTATCGCACAGCCTTCACCTCTCTCCTTTCTTCTCTTCACAGAGGATTCTCAGGTCACCAGCACAATATCCCCTCTCCAGTCCCCACACAAAGGACTCCCTCCCCGGCCACCCTTGCACAACAGGCCTCCCCCTCCGCAGTCGCTGGAAGGCCTCCGCCAGATGCATTACCACCGCAACGACTATGACAAGTCGCCCATCAAACCCAAGATGTGGAGCGAGTCATCCTTGGATGAACCCTATGAGAAGGTCAAGAAACGCTCCTCACACAGTCATTCCAGGTGAGCCCGCCTTCTTGACGCTCCGTCACAGAGCTCCCTCTGCTTTGAGGAGGGTCAGATGTGAGCCCTTTCAGAATTTACAAAGCCATCCCTTACCAAAAGGAGACTTTTTAGGTGTTTTGGCCAGTAGATATGTCATAAAACGGGCTGCAGCCACAGGACTGCTGCTCGGCATCTCAGGGTTCTTTTAAAAAACACCTGGAAAGGGAGGATGGTGGATCATCTGAGGGTCGTGACAGGGCTTGGCCTGGACCTCCACCTGCTGCAGAAGCCCAAGCTCTGGGACACAGCTCAGAGCAGCAGCAGCATCCCGCTCACCCCCCATGAGATCACAGGCACATGCCTGAGATCTGGAAAAGAGGCGTGGGAGCCCCTTCCCCAAATTCCTGCCTGGGAACTGAACCAGGGTGTTTGCTCTGCAGCAGTCACAAGCGTTTCCCCAGCACTGGGAGCTGTGCTGAGGCGGGAGGGAGCAGCTCGCTGCAGAACAGCCCCATCCGGAGCCTTCCCCACTGGAACTCCCAGTCCAGCATGCCGTCGACGCCGGATCTACGGGTACGCAGTCCGCACTACGTCCACTCCACACGGTAAGTCTTCCTGGCTCCGGTCTCACCTGGCTTACCCTGAAATAAATACTCCTTGCTTTATCCTTCCCCCAGGGTACTAATTAATTCCCAGTTCAGGAAGGGACACAAACCAGTCCTATTCGATCAGAGGCTCAAGTACTCATGCCAGTAGGGAATCTCTCCTGTGCTGAGATCCTGACATCACTTCAGACATGTGACTCTGCCCCTCATCTCCCTCTCAAAGTAATCAAGCTTTTCTTCCATGGGACCTTCCACCTCAGGGACTGTTTATAGGCACTACAAACCCTGTCTGATACAAAACATTGGGTATTGTCAGTTCTGTCTCACAGATAAAACGTTTGCTCACGTGTGACCTTACATGGAGAGCGAGCCCGATTAAAGCAATCCACCCGAGGATCCAGGTGCAGCGGAATAAGCCCAGGGTTGACAGAGGAAAAGAGCTGAAGTGTGTAAGGGAGGTGATTTGATGTGGCCCAATTTGACTCCAGGATTGCTACAAACTGTTCAGCCTCATTGCTGTTTTGCTCTCGTGGCAAACGCCGTGGGCACTGCAGGAAGCAGTGCTGCGTGCTGTTAGGTACCTGGCCCCAAGGGGTAGTGCTAACATCATTTAGCTCGGCATAAACCAAGAGTCGTGCCAACACGGTACAAGGAATTAAGGCTCTGGGTTAAGTGCATAACAAGTTTTTGGCTGAGAGTACCTTTCCACAGTGCAATGTTTGTTAACACTGGAGCCGAGCTGCGTGAGAAACAAGCCTGGCACAGGGCTTGAGAAGTGGCCTTGACTGGGCAGGGGCTGTTTGGGTGTTTGAAGTCATTGCTCAGTCCATGGCTTATTCACGACCTGCACGCCCTGGCCTTGGCCGGCCATCCCGCGGGTGTCTGACGCGTCGCGGGGGATTCCTGCTCCTCGAACGGATGCATTTTTCGGATGACTGAGGCTCTCCAAACAGCCGGGGTGAATAGAGGCCACCCAGACTTGGCTGTGTACTGAGCCTTGAAAATGTGCGATTCGGGGTGGTTGCCTGGAGGGCTGTTACCTGCTGCCGGTCCTACGCGAGCTACCCAGGGCTGGGCCCTGGTAAAGCCCAACTGCTCGGCAGAGGTGGCGCTTTCACAGGCCAGTGAAGAAATCGCTGCATTCTGGGCTAAGTGTGGGCAGTCTGTCTGTCTCACACCAGGGAGATTGTACCTGGGCAGGGCACATGAAAAGGAATCCCACCACCTTTGGGTCTCGGGATTTGCAGAGCTGGAGCGAGGTGAACCTGTTAGCACAGGGAGTGTGCTGATTCAAACAGCTCTGCCGCCAGCAAAACCGTGGCTTGGGGTCCCCAGATTTTTCCCTTCACACTGGGACTTTCCCAGAGTGACAAGGCACAGAGGAATCGGGCTGGGCAAGAGTTTACGTCCCGTGTGGTGTAGCAGACTCAATGCCACCACCAAGGAGGCTGGAGAGGATCAGGAATAGGAGTAGTCGCCCCAAACTCTGCAGCAGGATGCTCTGCAGCCAGCAGCCCCACGCAGTGCTGGAGGGTGCGGGTGTTCAGTACCCGCAGATTCCTGTGAAGCTGGCCTTGTGTGCCCAAGGGGATGGGGAGTGCTTTGTCCTGTTGACTTACCAGCCTGGATTTTTTTCCTGGTACCTGCAGGTCAGTCGACATCAGCCCAACCAGACTGCACAGCTTAGCTCAGCACTTTAGACACCGGAGCTCCAGTTTGGAGTCGCAAGGCAAGCTCCTCGGCTCAGAAAATGAGACAGGGAGCCCCGATTTCTACACCCCAAGGACTCGTAGCAGTAACGGCTCTGACCCCATGGATGACTGCTCTTCCTGCACCAGCCATTCCAGCTCTGAGCACTACTACCCCGCTCAGATGAACCCCAACTACTCCACCCTGGCAGAGGATTCCCCGTCGAAAGCCAGAGAGCGGCAGAGGCAAAGGCACAAATCGGCGGGCAACTTGGTCTCTTCCAATTCAGGGAGTATGCCCAACCTGGCTGCGAGGAACGGGACGGGGCACCACCGCGTCTACCTGCACAGCCAGAGCCAACCCTCCTCCCAGTACAGGATCAAAGAATATCCCCTGTACATCGAGGGCAGCTCCACACCCGTGGTGGTGCGGAGCCTGGAGAACGACCAGGAGGGACACTACAGCGTGAAAGCACAATTCAAAACCTCCAACTCCTACACGGCGGGGGGGATGTTTAAGGAGAACTGGCATGGGGACGAAGTGGACTCCGTCAGGCTCACCCCCTCCCGCTCCCAAATCATAAGGACTCCATCTCTGGGCAGGGAGGGCCACGAGAAAGGCTCGGGTAGGACTGCCGTGTCAGATGAGCTGCGACTCTGGTACCAGCGGTCCACGGCCTCCCACAAGGAGCACAGCCGCCTCTCGCACACGAGCTCCACTTCCTCGGACAGCAGCTCCCAGTACAGCACATCTTCGCAAAGCACCTTTGTGGCGCACAGCCGGGTCACGAGAATGCCTCAGATGTGTAAAGCGACGTCAGGTGAGAGCTGGGCCCGGGCAAAGGGGCAGGAGGGACGGGGGCTTCACAGAGCCCGGGTTCATGCCAGGCATTACACCCCGGCTGAAGAGCAGTGCCAGACTGTGGCACGTCATCTGGCTTCACACGTGGCTCACCAACCTGTAGGCGTAACACAGGGGGGGCAAACCTTCGCCAACACACTCATCGGGGGAGAATTGTGTCGATGGAAAGCATCGCTTTGCAATGATGGGCTCAAAAGCCAGGGAGGGCCTGAAGCCCTGCTGTTGCCAGGTCTGTCCTCACAGTGTGGTGGGTTTTGGGCACTGGCACCAGGGGCTGGACGTGGAGAAACCACAGGGGTTCTCTTAGTCATGGCGAAGGGAATGATGGAGCAAGCAGGGGCTCAGCACAGACTAGGAGAATGCACGTCCTCAGTGAAACACCAAAAGCGTGAGAAAGGTTAAGTGGGGAGCATCCTGGCCCCTCCACCCCCCGTGAAAATGTCTGAGCGATGACATCTTTGTGCACTGCTGAGATCTGGTTTTCCCATGCCGCTCCAGTAGCTCTGCTGATAATATCCTGAAATTCAGAGCGCTTAAGTGCAGTATTCTGCCTCTCTGTCATGTACAGAGCTTCACACTCTTCTGTGCTGTTAATATTAAACTAAGAAAACAGGCAAATTCATTAAACTGAGGAGGCCACTACGTGTTATGAAACAGTCGTTAAATATTTACTGGCCGTCAGTCACCACTGGACAAGCCACTTTGGGTACCTCAAGGACACGCTAAAAACCTGAATCCAGCCCCAGATGGATGGGCTTGCTGGTTAATGGGTGTTTGCACCGTCCCATTCCCAGCCTTCCACATGCCTCAGTCTCAGCGTGGGGGACACCCTCGCCCCAGCCTCGCTCCCCGCAGGCCCTCATGGCCCCCCTGCGCAGAGCAGTGCGTCACCCACCCGTGCTGACTGATCGCTGACACCAGCAGGGCTCTGTACTCGCTGCCGGAGCCAGAAGGGGTGGATCCACACCAGGCTCCTCGTGGGCCACAGCAGCTGCCCAAGAAGAAGGGGGCCTACGAGGAAGCTGGGGGGACTTTTTACAAGGGCCTGTAGTGACAGGACAAGGGGTAACGGGTTTAAATTGAAAGTGGGGAGGTTTAGATTAGATATCAGGAAGAAGTTCTTTACAGAGAGGGTGGTGAGGCACTGGAACAGGTTGCCCAGAGAAGCTGTGGATGCCCCATCCCTGGAAGTGTTCAAGGCCAGGCTGGATGAGGCCTTGTGCAACCTGGTCTAGTGGAAGGTGTCCCTGCCCATGGCAGGGGGGGTGGAACTGCATGGTCTTTAAGGTCCCTTCTGACCCCAACCATTGTGTGATTCTATGATTCTGCTATAAGAGGTTATTTACACGTGATGCCAATGCTTGTAGGACCCCAGAAGTGCAGCAAGGCACAATCAAGTAGCTGCTGGAACCGTTCTGTCCCTCCCTTTGAAAATCTGCCTTCCCCCTTTTAATTAATGGGCATTTCTCTTCCATCAACAGAAAATGCTTGAACACTGGGAAGCTTTGCCTTGCTTAGCTTCGGAAACCACCAGTTCAGTTAGGTAATCTGGGGCTGGGGGAGAGCACATAAAACCCCTGTCACTCAAACTGTTCTCTCCCCGAGCTGGGTCCTTAAATCTCGGTGTGATACCTGGGCAGCAGTGGGAAATGTGGTCAGTAATCACGGCTTTCGCGACCAGTCGGCAGCAGTCAGCTCCCAGTTACAGCTGTGGGAGGATACTGACCTTGGGAGCCATCAGCTCCAAGGAGCAGATTGAAATTTGCTTTTCTTTTCCAGTGCCATTTGGCAGAAGCTAAAGAATTCAGCAGCATAGAGGGGATGCCAGGTAGAAACAGCCATCGTTGCAGCTGATTAGCCCTAGCTGATAGGTCTGTGGACTTCCCACTGTCCTTCCGACAGGATTATATTAAATATCATTCCAGGCATATATTAAATTTGGAGGGTCAGCTCTGTATGGACTTGAGGAGGAGGAAAGAACAGTCGAAGGAATTTCTTAGCTAGACCCTCACCGGGAATCTCCCCCAAGAACCACTGCCAATGGTACATTTTTGGTTCTGCTTGCTTCTCCCTTCACCGAAGTCAGACAAGCCTTCCCCCGGTGCCGTGGCACTAGGGTCAGCAGAGCAGAGAAACGTCACTGTAGCTTTCCAAATCTTCAGAGTTGTCTTCCTCCGCTGCCCGTGAAGCAGTGTCCTTGTCTAGACTCTTGCCACTGCCAGCCCCAGGGACTCCCAGGGACGTGGAGCATCTCCCACTACACCTGGAAGCGGGAGGCTGAGCCTGGGAGGCAGATGGTCCTCCACTTCAGGTCCCATGGAGATGTGCAGTCAGGCCCTGCCCATCCAGGCAAAGCTGATCAGCTCTATAGAGTCATGGAATGGGTTTGGTTGGAAGGGACCTTAAAGATCACCCACTTCCAACCCCCTGCCATGGGCAGGGACACCTTCCACTAGACCAGGTTGTTCAAAGCCTCATCCAGCCTGGCCTTGAACACTTCCAGGGATGGGGCATCCACAGCTTCTCTGGGCAACCTGCTCCAGTGCCTCACCGTCCTCTCTGGGAAGAACTTCTTCCTGATATCTAATCTGAACCTCCCCACTTTCAATTTAAACCCGTTACCCCTTGTCCTGTCACTACAGGCTCTTGTAAAAAGTCCCCCCCAACTTCCTTGTAGCCCCTTCAGGTACTGGAAGGTGCAATAAGGCTGCTGCATCCCATGGTTTCGTGCTGGGAGGAGCGTGGCGTTTCCCAGGCAGGCTCAGGAGAGTCCGGGTGCTTGTATTCAGCTGCAGGCCGGACTGACTCAAAGCATTCCCACAGAGTCGAGGACAGATTCAGCTCATGACTCGCAGCAGCATCAGCACCAGGCCGGCTGCTCCCGTGCCATGTTCTGGCATAGCTATCCAGGAACAGGATGAGGTCTGACTGCCAGGCTGTGTTTACTCGCAGCCAGACATGTTTTTGCTGCTCTGACCAGCTGATGCTTGTGAACCACCCTGACCCCTGACCTCACCGCTTGTTTTTCCCACCTCCGGTTGTTTTCCAGCTGCCTTACCTCACAGCCAGAGGAGTTCGACACCGTCGAGTGAGCTGGCAGCCACGCCGCCGGGCAGCCCCCACCACCTTCTCGCGTGGCAGACTGGGTGAGTGTCTGTGGCGTCGGGGTAGAGCACCTCAGCGCCGAGAACAACCTACACACACACGAGCAAAGGCAGAGCACAGGGATGGGGAGCATTTTCCAGGTGCTCCATAGCCTCCCCTCCGGGGCTGTCGTGACGGCGGTGCTGTAGTTGAGGCTGACCAAGATGCCCACCCAGCAGCACTGCTCCAAGCAGTGCTGGGGCCGCAGGGAAAGCGGCCTTGCAGGTTCTTCCTGCTTGGACAGCCTCCTTCCTTCAGTTTTCCACACCTCCAAGTAGCTGATCTTTGCAGCCACCACGCTGGCTCTCCAGACCAAGGTCTGTGTTGTGAAGGCAAGGGCAGGTGCCTGTCATATCCGTGTGTGCAGCAACCACCTTCTCCTGCGAGGTCTTCCCTAGCCGTGTGTCCTAGTGACCGTCAAGTGCATCTTTCTTCAGCTACCACTAACCTAACGTGCCTCGCCACAGCCTGAGTGAGTCACTGCCTGCAGGTAGCCACTGCTCACGTAAATACTGGGTTCTTCGGCACCTCTTCGTGAGGCAGGGAGTGCCAGGAGTAAACGGAAAGCCTTTTGCAAGCTCCTGTGGGTATTCTCTAGCAATCTCCTGTAATTCTGTCCTGCCATCTGAAGTAAAGATAATTTCCAGATCCTGTCTAACTCGGCGCATCCCAGAGCTTTGCGTCTAAATTGAGTTGGGTGAGTTCACCTAGAAACTTTCAGACTACAGTCCTCAAAATACTGCAGGCCCTGGAGCAGGAAAACAGAGACAATCCCCTGAGTGGTGAATTGGGACCGCTAACTTTGCAAACATTCCACTGTGCAGCCACTGGAAAATCTCGTGCTCTTTAATTCCCTCTGGTCACCTGTGACCACGTTTGACCTCCGGTTTTACTCCAGCACTGTTTGTGACTGCACCTTAAAATGGAGATGAGGATAACCACAACCCCCTTAGGCCCACCTTGAGTTTTAAATGCACACATTTGACATCCAGCCTGACACGGTCTCTGCATGTGCCTCCAGCTTTAGAAGAGGAGAATTTTCCTGGTCCCATTTTACGAAAGTCAAGGGATCACAAGGCAAAATGGAGCTGTCGTTACCGTACACTGAAATTTCCATGAGTAAGGGTTAGAGTCTAGACTCACATCTGAGTCTCCATCCCGATTCCTCTAAGTATCTCCGTGATGATCAGAAGTAAAACTGCTGCGCAGCCAGCTGAGAAATCTGTTTGAAAAAGCCCGACTGTTCTTATTTTTCCATTCAGGACCCTCCTGCGCTGTCTCTCATAGCAAAAATGCGTCGGTTCTCAGCTGGTGCAAGTGAAGTTACGTAGATTGGTAGCTCAGGCCCCGCACCAACCACCAGTGCAAACGGAGTTAGAGAGGAAGTCGCGCGTAACGTCATGCCCGAGCACAATGCCCAGGGCATAGCTATGAACGCCGGTAACGTTTGCCTTAAGGCGCACACCCCGAACCCCAGGAGCGGGCGGCGCCCTCCCAGCACGGCTCAAAAGATGGACAGTTCACTCCAACCTCTTTTTGTGTCACTAACTTTTTCTGAGGATGATTCATTGACTTGTTTCCCACTGCATTAATAAGCTCGTAACAATGTCTGTGTCACTTCTTTTCTTTAACATTTCCTCTCTCCTCTTTCCTCCTTTTTTTGCTCTCCTTTGTTCAGAGAAGCAACAGACAACTCACCCACTATGGATGAGTCTCAGTCTCCAACCCACCAAAGTACTGATGAATAGAGGTATAGTAAGGGAACGTTTTGTTCTTTCCCCCTTCTGCCTTACAGTCCGTGACCGCCCCGCGCGTGACCGGCATCCCGCTGCCCCAGAGCAGCAGCCCTGCCCGTTTGTCAGGCAACAAGGCTCCCTTCAGCTCTTGGAAGAACAACTTGAAAAGCACCTCGAAGCCCCCTCTGTGCCTTTTCAGCAAGTTCGCAGCCTTCCCGGTGAAACGGGATTGGGGCCAGCCCGCTCCGCATCCGTGCGGAGCCTGAAGGGGCACAGAGAGCCGCCAGGACTGGCCAAGATGTCGGTGCAGTGTGGGCCGAGGGCTGCGGGGAGTCTGGGAGCAGAGTGGTGGGGAGACGAGTGGGTAAACGGGGGCCTTGGAGGGTCTGGACCGAGCTCCCAGCACGGCCCTCCTGCTCCTTGCCTTCTGCAGAGCAGGGCTGCGCAGCAGAGTCTTCGCGGAGCGAGGAGCAATCCTGGCCCTCTTCCTGTGGGAAGACGGAGAGGGGGAAGGGTGGAGGGAACAGAAAACCCTCAGAGTATTTCTATTTTAATTAAACTGCCATCGCATCTGACACTCATTTGAATCTACACCCATTCACAGCTGGCGTCTGCCAAGTATGTCAAGCCCAGCTTTCCCGAAATAACCCACAACCCTCCGCACTCCAGCACAGCGCTGGGACACAAAAGGCTCTTGAACATGCGAGTGGCGATGCCCCTGCTCAGGTTCCTCCCAGACACCAGTCCCAGGGAAACCAGGACAGAGGAAGCAGGAACTGCATCGGATGTGAGATCAGTCCTGCCAGGTGGGGAGGGAGCTGAGCAAGGAGTGAGAATTCCACAGTAACAGAAAACGCATTTCCCACTTTGGGCCTCAAAAGAATCTCTGGTTTGGAATTTGGATAAAACCAAGGTGCAGGGATTCTGACTGTCACTACCAGACCCAGCAGCCACCTCTCAGAATACCAACCAGATGTTGACCTCAGTGTTTCCCTCTGGCAGGGAGCTCTGCAGGCCAAGCGGGCGCCGGCCCTGTCTGAGCCGTAAGGGGGATAGCAGGGACGATGCCCAGGAACTGCCTCGCCTGCTCTGCGCAAGCAGACAAAAACCCGGGCAGCCGAGGACATGGTCGCTTGTCCGGAGAGGATGCGGACCAGGCTGTGACAAAACACGGTCCTTTCCACATCGGACCTGGCGACTCCCACTAGTCACTTCCTAGCTCATCCCTGGAAAGCCATGTAACTGGGATTGCCAGGTGATGCACGAACCTCTGCCCAGAGCAGCGGTGCTACAGGAAGGCATCACCCTCCTCCTCCTCCCACATTCCCACAGGGCACTGTGGCCAAGAGGGCTGCCCTGCCCACTTGCTCCCTGGAAAGCACCTATGGAAAACCTCTGTAGCCCGCTTGCTGCCGGGCAGGAGAGCGGGCTGGAGCCTTGGGGCAAGGCAGAGCAGTGCTGCTGTACCCAGGGGAAGAGCCACCTGCAGCCAGGGAAGAGGCAGGTGGCACCAGGAGCGGTGGGATCGAGGGATGGGCACAGCCCACAAGCTCTTGCCCTCCAGCAGCCGCTCTGCTCTCCCATAGCACGTCCTGCCAGCGGCGGGCTGAAAGCACGGCTGTTCTGCCTCTGCCGTTCCGGCACCGTCCAACGCTCGGGCACCCTGCCCGCGGAGAGGTGGCCGGAGCGCGGCTTCCTCCTGCCTCCTCGCACAGGGCAGGCGGCTGGGGGGAACGGGAATGCCAGGCAAGAGCAAACTGGGGCGAAGCAGAGTCTTGCGTGCTGAGCCCACCCCAAACGTCAGCTCG